ATCATATCCTACATGGTTGTGCGTGATACAGGAGAACTGAGAACTTAAGTGTAAGAACTTGCTTAAGGTATCCACTGCTCCCCCTCCCCCTCCCCCAAACTCAACAGCTTTGGTTTTTGGTTTCTCCTTTCCTTTTAAACTAAGCATTTTTAGTTGGGGAGGGGACTGGAGAGATGGGCTCTGCTTTCCCAAAGGACTGGGTTCCATTCCTAGCACCTATATGGCGGCTCACAACTGTCTGTAACTCTAGTCCCAGGAGATTCAAGCCCCTCCTCTGGCCTCTGAAAGCACTATGTACCATGGTGCACAAACATCCCAACAATGAAGGAGAATATTTTGCCTCAAAGAAACTAGACTGCGAAGAAGGTTGGAAAAAGGCACAGAACACGGGGCCTTAGGGGAGAAAGATACAAAATGTCCCAAACTTCCAGACTCTGCACATGCAGATACAGAAGTTTGAAGCCCAGAGGCACAGCTTGTCTCTGAGCACTGCCTGCCCCATCTGACAGAGCTGTTCTACCCTCTCAGGCTCCTGCGCCTCCTCCTCCATCCATCCATCCGAGCTCTACTGTAAATTTAGTCTTAGCAAAGACCATTGCTAAGTCACTTGATACCTAATCACTCTGGAAATATGATCCCTCATTGCTCTTTAGAGGATGTCTTATCCCCTGGCCTGTCTCTGGCAGGAGCTTGCTAGGTTGGTTTAGACAAAATTCCCTGACCCTGGAGTTTCCTCACAGTGATTTTCCATCCACTCACTCTACTCTGTCCCTTGGCTAGAATTTTTACTTTGCCGCTGTTGTGTTTCAGATCAAGCTGCACCCTTCTCTGGGGGCAAATCCCACAGCAGTGATCCCTCTACCCATTGTCAAGGTCCTAAAAGGCCCGGTTAGACCATCACTGGCTGGTATTTGTTCCTTAACAACTTCCCCATTGCTGCATGGAAATATTTTCCTTTAGAATGGGTTTCTAAACAGAGTGACACATCTGTACTAGGCTCCAAATTAAGGCTGAAGTGCTTTGTCTCTGAAAAACTACAGTTTTCTCTTCACACCACACACATGTGAGCCTTCCCTCACTGAAACCCTTGCAGGGGTCTCGTGGAAAGAGTGGGCGAGCACACTGGCGTGGGCATGGTATTCTTTCTTAAGTAAACAGGGATGCCTATGTTTTCCTGCCCCGCCCCCATCCCTGTGCCCATTCTGCTAGGCTGGAGACAAATGACCAGAGCTGATCTCTCTTGCATGGCTCGTGACCTTCCTTCTTTCTCCTGTCCCTCCCTCCCCCACCTCCTCTCGAAAATATAGTTGCGAGACTGTTGCCCCACCCACCCAGGAAGGCAACAAGTTTAAACTCCTCGGGTCTGGAATGAAAGGCCTTTGTAGGAAATCATTGTTGGCAGCTGGGCAGAAGCAATTTCAAACCGGTCCCACCAGTGCAGCAGGGAGAGCAATTTGAAGCCCTTAGAGGCTCCTCCAAGTGTGACAGATACAAACAGCCCAGCTGCCCTGTGATGTCTGTTGAGTCAACTGTCAGAAGGCAGACAGGCCTGCTGACATGGGAGTGTTATGTCCTGGGGAAATGCACAATGGAGAGATGAAAACACTTCCAGGAGCTTTAGTTAAGAGAAGAACTGTCCAGAAGGATGGCTAGAGAAGCTAAACTAGTGAAAAAAATCTTAGTTATTATAAAATTCCACTTAAGATCATCCTGAAAGTTGACAATGTGGAATAGTAAGTCTTAGATATTTAAATATATCTCATAGCAGTTAGGAATAAAGTTTCAAAGAAACTTTCCTACTGATACTGAAATACCGTGTTTATAAATGTAGCTATCTGAATTAAAACATATTTGGAAAAATCCAAAATAAACATTTAAGACAATGGCCGGAGAGAAAGAAAGGAGTGGAGTTAGGTCTGTGAAGAAGTGGAGGGGCCTGGGAGGAGGTGGGAGAGGAGGAAAGGGTGATCAGAATATGTTGTCTGAAAAAGGTTTTTAAAAAATAGATTGGAAAACAAACACTGGCCTCTGTCATGAGAAAAGTATAAATAGAACAGAGTTTACACACAAGTTCAAACATTCAAGTGTTGTATGCTTCTCTCATTTATTAAGTGTGTGGTTATGGGAGGAGAAAGACCTCAGGGATAAGGAGGGTTCAAAGGAAACACTGAATAAACAACTGAAGTTTGATGGAACTGTTACTGTTAGGGTCATTCATTTTGCTCCTAAACATACTTCATAGTTTTATTCCCCACACCGAGGACTAACCTGTCCTTGACATGCTAGGCAAGCACTCCACTACTATGTCCTCTTATACATATGCTTAAGAGAGATAAAAGGGTCAGAGAAATGGCCACAGGTAAAGGCACTTGCTGCCAAGCCTGACTATGTGAATTCAAATCACTGGGGCCCACAGAATAGAATAAAAGACCAACTCCCACAAGTTGCCGTCTGTCCTTAGGCCATAGCATGTTCATGGCCACACTACCTCCACATATACTAAATAAATGAATCTGACAGACACACAGAAACTAGACATTGGTCTAAAACTTTACTGTACAGAAAAACAAAAAGAAGAAAATAAAAGTACCCCTTAGCTGGGCAATGGTGGCACACACCTTTAGTTCCTGCACTTGGGAAGCAAAGGCAGGCAGATCTCTGTGAGTTTGAGGCCAGCCTGGTCTACAGGGTGAGTTCCAGAATCTCCAGGTCTACACAGAGAAACCTTGTCTCAAAAAACCAGTAAGTAAATAAATGCAAGCACCCCTTTAGAAAAATTTGGATGCAAATGTTCACACGAGCATAATCTTCAAAAGGCCAAAGAAGAAGCAAATCAAATATCTATCAACTGATAACTGGATAAAATAGGACAAGTCCACACAATGGAATATTATTTGACAGGAAGAAAAATGCTAAAGGTGTGTGCTATCAAGTGCATGAGCTTTGACATTTTAATACATGAAAAAAAGCTATAAAAATCAATAAGTTATGTATTACTTGGCTCTATTTATATGGAGAGTCCAGAGGGGGTAACTTTAGAGAGACAGAATGCAGACTTGTTTTTAGGCACATTTGAATGGAGATAGAGGGTGGCTGTTACTGACTAGGAAGGTGCTCTGGGAAGGATGGCAATGTGTCAGACTTAGGCTGCATGATGACCACAACATTCTGTGAATGTTCTAAAAGTATTCACTTGAGTCCTTCACTTGCCAGATAAAGATGTTTTAAGGGAGCTGATTGCATTAATTTGTTCAAAAATGAGTTGAGCTTCTAGAGCTCACTAAAATGAAACACAGCTCTGATTGAGTCTAGCAACCAACCCACAGTGACTCTTTGAAAACAGTTGAGGGACAGGTAAAGTCACCAACTATGGAAGCCTGAGAGGTGTGTGTGTGTGTATGAATAGACAGATTATGTTCAATAACAAAACCACCACTACAAGTTAAAGATGACCTCAGAAGGTCAAATCTAGGAGCTCGGCTTCCTGTGAGATCAGCAGCCCAGAGCATGCTAACAGCTGCATGAACTATGACTCACTCATTGCTCTCTCCTCGAGAAAACAGCTGTTGTCAAACAAAGCAAACAAATTCTACAGAACAGGTTGGTCACACAGTCTTACCCCACAGAAAGAAGACTTCAGGTAGCCTGTTAGGCCTGTGTTACGTGGCCTCAAAAATACCACAAGATCTCTGATGACCTCCAGTGGTGACAACAGAAATTGCTTGGTTTATGGTCCCTGAGACTAGAATGCAATGTACAAAGTAATGAGGGATATGAGATTTGGTCACCTCTTTGGAGACAAATCCTATAAAACCATCCTTAGAGAACCTGCTACTGGCCTAGCTAGGTTCTTAGTCATGTCCACACATACTGAGGGGATTTCTAGAATATATTGGTTAGCCACACATCTTTTAGTACCTCCAATTTCACTTACAAGAGACCATTTCTGTTTAATAAGCCACTGATTGGTCTGATTGTTTCTTTCTTTCTTTTTCTTTTTTTAAAGATTTATTTATTGTGTTTACAATGCTCTGCTTACATGTCTGCTTCAACACCAGAAGAGGGCACCAGACCGGATTACAGATGGCTGTGAGCCACCATGTGGTTGCTGGGAATTGAACTCAGGACCTTTGGAAGAGTAACCAGTGCTCTTAACCTCTGAGCCATCTCTCCAGCCCCCCTGATTGTTTCTTGAGTCTGATGTTTGCTCTGCTAATTGGGAAGTATCTGAGAGTTGTAGAACCATTGTTACCTTCCCAATAAGAGAAGAGAAGCTAATGAAGGGCTGGCTTCTAGAGGTCCTGAGTTCAATTCTCAGCATCCACAGGGCACTTTTACAACAATCTATAATGAGATCTGGTGCCCTCTTCTGGTGTGCAGGCATGTGTACAGACAGAACACTGCATACATAATAAATGAATAAATCTCAAGTGAGAGAAAAAGAGAGCTAATGATCTCTAGAATACTAATTCCTGATCAGAACATTAGCTCCCTGGCTGTGATTTCAACTAACAAATGTCACACTATCTATGCCAAAGGGGAAGGGAGGAATAAGAACAGGAATTCATTAACAATCAACATCTGGTGTATCCTTGTCATAGTGGTAAAGGCCACTAGAATTGTCCCTTCTGACATTTTTTGCATCAATTGTTTAATAATCATTTATGAAATGTCTATCTATGTACCTGGTCCCCATCTGGCATATATTATCTTTCAATACATTCCAAGAAGAACTTAATAGATCAGGAGAACAGACCAAGTCACTGACAAGTGTTTGAAAAAAACGGAACAGCCTCCCATTGGGATGAAGGTGTTAAGTCCCAGGGCTCTGTTTCAGTCTGGAGGAGGAAGCAGGAGCTAGAATCCGTTCATAAACCATAAAATAGCAATTGCCTCATTTTTATAGAGAAAAGAGAAAAACTCCTTAAGGGTTATATAAACATGTCGCCATATTTTATCTTCCTTGAGAACCAATAATTACATCACTATGCTACTTTTACCTTAGCTGCGATTTAGAGCATTGTGAAAGAATTGTGAATAAGAATTCCTGCCGTTGCTTGTTGGTCCAGAGGTCAAACCAGTGACATATGAGAGTAACTCTGTCTTGAAAGAGCTAGAAGAGAGTAAAATGAGATTTCACTATCCCCTTCCATAGGTTCTCAGTTGCTAAGTAGTCTGTCAACTAATAACCTCATAGCTAATGTTTACATCGTTCATGGCAGTTTACAAGCACTTTCATATGGCCTGTAGAGTCCCTGCTTTGGGCTTAAAGTGTTTTTATCCAGGTACCCAGGCAAGCCAGGGCTTGTTGGATGGGCCAGTGGGAACCCCATGGGGTTTGTAATTACAGAGGGGCCCCTGGAGAACAAAGGGCAGCGATGATCCACTGTTCCTGTATTTACCTAGGCTAGTGTGGCCCAGGGCAAGACTCCAATATTTCATCTTGTCTACAAGCCCTACTCACTGAATTGTGGAAGCTGGACCATTTAATACAGATTTGGTTTTCTTTACTTCTAGCTTTGGGGCTGTATATAATGCCCATAAAACTAAAAATGAGTAATTACTACACAATGCCATTGTTAAGCTTTGTCTCCAGGGAGGATATACACCATGAACCAACATCTCTAAAAGCCCTGGTTTCAGCCCAGCCTTGCTTACACAAAGACAAATACAAATTCATTGTCTTTATTCTAGATCAGGCTTTATCCACTACTTATACCTACTCTCCTCCCACTGTGGAAGCAGCTGAGCCCACACAAGCTCTGTCTCCATGAAAACTTGGTGAGACTGCCCTATTGCTCTAGGGTTACATGGAATCATGCACACGATGGAAGATTATATTAAAGAACCATAGGACCATACATGACAGTGCCCTGTCACCTCTCCAAAGCTCCTTCCTTATTTCCCTTCCCCACCACAGTCGCCCAAGATGTTCTGGAGGTGCAGAGTGAGGGGGTGCGGGGGAGTGGGGGACAGATGTGGTTCCTCCCTAGGTAACGGACAGAGCCTTCCTTAGGTGAGGAGACACTCACTTTGAGACATAGGTTAGTTTTTAAAAAAGAAAGACTCAAAATTTAAACTATTTTTCTTTAAAAACAGGACAACATAAGACTCAACATACCCGGTAAAATTCACTTCACCAATTGAACTCATCTCTACCGTAGAATATGGAACTCACCTGTCTGTTCAAGGGCTGGTTGTTAAAGGGAGTCCAGGTGCTGAACCTGGTATGGAAGCTCTCCACCTCCGGGCTTTTCTGAGGAAAACTCCCGAATGACATCTCAGCAAATTACTTTCTTCCACTCCGAAGAACTATTGGTTCACTTTAACAAGTTAAGAAAGCTTAGAAACAACCACAGCATTGTTTTCTCTGTAGGAATTATAGAATCACTATATCCACTAATATATAGGTAAACCATACATAAATTTACAATTCAGATATGTGTATGCATAAACATATGTAAAGTAGACCGCCAAAATGTCCAAGTGTCCATGCACTCCACTTGTTCTGTATTTATATACATGTATCCAGACCTGGATCTAAACAAGAGTTTTTACTTTGCTGGCAAAGTGGAAAGATAAACGTGTTTTTTGGAATCAGAGTTGCTGCAGGCATGCCGGACAAGTATTCTACTGGCTGAGCTACATTCCCAGCTCCAGATTGTTGTGTGATGTTTTACTCTTAGTTTTTTGAAGGGGCCACCACCCAGCATCCAAATAAATACACGAAAGCTTATCCTTAGTTATAAGTGCCCGGCCTTAGCTTGGCTTGTTTCTTGCCAGCTTTTCTTAATCTAAATTATCCCATCTTTGACCTCTGGGCTTTTTTCTTTCTTTAATCTGGTATACCTTTTCTTCTTACTCTACATTTGGCTGTGTGGCTGGGTGGGTGGGTGGGTGGCTGGGTGGTTGGGTGGCTGGGTAGTTGTGTGGCTGAGTGGGTGGGTGGGTGGTTGGTTGGGTGGCTTGGTGGCTGGGTGGCTGGGCGGCTGTGTGGCTGGGTGGTGGGTGGTTGGGTGGGTGGCTGGGTAGTTGTGTGGCTGTGTGGCTGAGTGGCTGGGTGGGTGGGTGGCTGGGTGGCTGGGTGGTTGGTTGGGTGGCTTGGTGGCTGGGTGGCTGGGTGGGTGGTTGGGTGGCTGGGTAGTTGTGTGGCTGTGTGGGTGGGTGGCTGGGTGGCTGGGTGGTTGGGTGGCTGGGTAGTTGTGTGGCTGGGTGGCTGTGTGGCTGTGTGGCTGTGTGGGTGGGTGGGTGGGTGGTTGGGTGGCTGGGTAGTTGTGTGGCTGGGTGGGTGGGTGGGTGGTTGGGTGGCTGGGTAGTTGTGTGGCTGGGTGGCTGGGTGGCTGGCCCCGACATCTTCCTTTCCTTGTTCTCTTGCTGCTCCTCCTCTTCCTCATATTCTCCTTCTATTTATATTCTCTGCCTGCCAGCCCTGCCTGTCCTTGCTCCTGCCTCAATATTGGCCGTTCAGCTCTTTATTAGACCATCAGGTGTTTTAGACAGGCACAGCAATGCAGCTTCACAGAGTTAAACAAATGTAGTATAAACAAAATTCACACACCTTAAAATAATATTCTACCACACCAGAGTTATTCTTAAAATGTAAATTTGACATTATGTCAGATGTACATTATGACATGTACGGCAATATGTCAAATATAATTTGACATCATAAACCAATGTAAACTAAAATACAAAAAGTGTATTTTATGCTTTTGGCATTTATTCATGACACACACACACATACTTTACTAAAGTAGCAATAGAGGGACTTCCTAATCAAAACAAGAGTGTATTTTAAAAATGTATGACAAAGCTGGGCAGTGGTGGTACACCCCTTTAACTCCAGTACTTAGGAAGCAGAGGCAGGTGGATCTCTATGAGTTCAAGGCCAGCCTGGTCTACAGAGCGAGTTCCAGGACAGGTTCCAAAGCAATACAGAGAAATCCTGTCTTGAAAAACAAAAAATCAAAATAAAAACAAAACAAAAACAAACAAACAAAAAACAAAGAGAGAAATGTATGTCAAGTTTGAACTCAACAGTGAAGTGGACCCTTTCCTCTGATTACAATTAGCATCTTTATTTGACATTGTTCTGAGTGTTCTTTGCAGTGCAATAAACCAATAACAGAGAAAAATGAAATTGCCATTTTTGACATACTAAAGAATCAACAGATAACTTGACATGTTTAAAATCTGCTTCTTACAAGGTCAACAGGCAAAATCAATTTTATTTCCATATGCTCACAAATATTTAAAAAAATATATATGTATATATATATGTATTTTTTTCCCTGAGACAAGTTTTCTCTGTGTGACAGTCGTGGCTACTCTGGAACTCTATAAACCAGGTTGGCCTGGAAATCACAGAGATCCACCTGTCTCTGCCTCCCATGCACTAGGATTATATATACCCGGCCTATATTTAAATTTTTTAATGATTTATTATTGTTTTATGTGCACTGATGTTTTGCCTGCATACACATCTGTGTGAGGGTGCCAGGCCCCTTTGAGCTGGAGGTACAGATAGTTGTGAGCTGGCATGTGGGTGCTGGGAACTGAACTGGGTTTTCCAGAGAAGTAGTTGACCACTGAGCCATCTCTCCAGCCCCTCACTCACATTCTTTAAACAACAATGCATCATTTATAAATAACATTTAAAATCTAATTCAAATATGATGGACAAGCATTGCACAAAGACTAAAAACTGTATCAAGACAAATGTTAAGAGATATACATAAGAATGAGTATGTTATAGATGTTGCTTCTCCCAAATTACTCTATTACTCAGTACCAAACCCCAAAAAGTGTTGAACAGCTGATTAGAAAATGTATCTAGAACAGAAAAAGCTAGCTTGGCAGAGAAGAAAGAGTCAGGACTGCAGCACACCTGTCTATTCTAAAGTTAGGGGACTAAGCATATGAGATTTTGGCCCAAGAATAGCCAAGACAAGGGAAGCCCAGAAGCCGAGCCATGTGTGCATGGGCACTTGATTTCTAACAAAGGTGGCACTTCAATTACTGGGCTGTGGCTCCAGCCAGCAGCACACGGAGTAGGACAACTACCCAGATCACCCAGCTCATCACCTGAATCAGGAAAGTATATATAGCAGGTCTCCTGCTTCTGCCTCCCAAATGAATTCTTTTCTTGTTCCCGCATTTTATAGTCATCTGAAGAGTACTTCTACAAGATATTAGTAGGTGTTTCCTCAGAAACAGAATCTGTGATTAACATGATTAGGAAATAATAACTGACCAGAATTAATGTTTCTTTCATTGCACAATGCTTTAGAAGCTTTGACATGGTGGTTTTACAGTGAATCTGTTAGAAGAAATAATATATAGCAGCATTTCCCCCATTTACTATGACACGGCACTCACTAGCGTGTGTGTTATATCATGGAATTATCAATTCTAGCATATTATTTCCCAGTCAGTGGCTGACAGTAACAAACACTGATTACCTCCTGGTGTCAGGGGGTTACAAGCCCAGGTGCAACTTGGCCAGGCCTTCAGTTTAGGGCCTCTCAGTACTAGCGTCAACTAGAGATTAGTCATCCAAGGCTGGATTAGGAGAAAGTCCCTTCCAAGCTCATGCAAGTGGTGCTGAGCCCATCTCTGATGCCTGTAGCCTGAATATGGGGGGTGTGATTGGCATCTGCTGTAGTTTGGATCTTGAAGGTCTCTCCAAAAGGCCCACACATTAAAGACATGGCACCCAGAATGCAGCTACCACTGGTGGTGCTTAAAGAGGCAGGGCTTTGCAGAGGTACAGACTCATGAGAAGTCTTTAGGTCATTGGTGACAAATCACTGAGGAAGATTGTGGGACCTCAGTTTCCTTATTTTCTTCATTCTCCTTTGCATTCTGCCACACACTCCCACAACGATATGCTATTCACCAAAGGCCCAAAGCAGCAGGGCTAACGTCAGGAACCAAACCCTTTGAAACTGTGCTCCCAAATAACAGTCTTTAGAAGTTGTCTCGGGTATGTGTTACAGGGACAGATAGCTGATTAGCATAGCCTATGAGCTAACTGCTGTGGACAGTGTCAGGTGTGGACATGATAGTAAAAGCCCCGTTGAGAGCCACTGGAGGTCTGGTAGAGAGAGATCTCCCATTCTGGTGACCAGAATGAACGCTGTACTTAGCAAGTGTGAGTAGAGAGGAAAAGCTGTTGTGTTTGTCTTGTTTCCTTGTATTTTCTTGGAACAATCAAGACGAAATGGCTGGGCAACATCAGTGGCCTCACTGTTGGAATAAACCAGAAATCTGTGTCGTCAGTTCACTGTGTCCCTGAGTGATCTGTTTTATAGCTGGAGAGATGCAGAGTGGGCTGGTCCTGCTCCACTCCTACAGAGGAAACATCTTAGAATATCATAAACATAATGTGTTTGTTGGGGGAAGATGGCTCAGCTGATCTGTTTGCAACTCTTGGGGAGTTCAGTTCCAACCACCCACGTGGGGTACCTCACTGTCACTCCAGCTCTCTTCTGGGCTGTGTGGGCACCCTAGTGCTTGCATGTACACACACACACACACACACACACACACACACACACACACACACACACATTTTTGTTGTTGAGACACAGTGTCCTTACATAACACTGGCTGTTCTGGAACTCACTTTGTAGATCAGGCTGGCCTCAAACTTAAAGAGATCCACCTACTTCTGCTTCCCAAGTGTTGAGATTAAAAGGATGTGCCACCATGCCCTGCCCATACAATATTTTTTTAAAATGGTATTCCTTGGTAGAGAGGTGATTGCATTTGCTTACACAAGCAAACTGGGAGATGCTTCATTTAGTATCTAAAATGTAATTCCTTCAAAAACATCTTCTAAAAAAAGGTTGTCAAGAACTGTAACACACAAAAATATGAGGGTAACCAGTGAAAAACCAGAAGAGAAAGACAATCCCTGTCAAGTTCACTTGTCTACATTTTGAGCACAATTTAATATAAGCACAAGCCAGTATGTATATTAAATATGCAAGAAAATACTAGATAATAGAACGATCGGATGTTTTGAAGAAATCTGTGCATTGAAGCACTGTTGTGTATAGAAAACACAGTAATCCCTGGGGATGTCCTTCAGTAGGTTGAATGCTTGCTCAGCATGCATGAAACCCTGGATTCCATCCTTAACCCCATATAAAGGGGTGTGGTGCCACACATGTGTAACCAGTCCTGGGAGGTAAGGCAGGTGGATCAGTAGTTAAAAGTCATCCTTAGCTACACAATGAGTTAGAGGCCAGCCTGAGCTACTTTAGATCCTCTCCTCCTCTCCCTCTGTCTGTCTGTCTGTCTGTCTGTCTCTCTCTCTCTCTCTCTCACACACACACACACACAGAGAGAGAGAGAGAGAGAGAGAGTGTAGGGAGGGAGAGAAATTAAGAAAAAATTATATCTTGCTGGTATTTTAAATGCTAGATATGCTTACTGTTTTAAAGCTACAAAATCAAAGCAAGAAGTAACTGCAATATTTAAATTCATTCAAGAAACATAGCACATTGTTGTTGCCCTAATTGTTTTTACTTCCTCCGCTTCTGTTCCCTCCCCCCAAATTAGTGAATTTAGAATACAATTTTGAGGCTCCTGAACAACACACAAATTAAGTTTCTGAGGATAGACTGCCACAGGTGGAATGTGCAAACCACTGCGTGAATTGTATGAACTCGAACACAGGAAATTGTACTGATATTTAGAACAATGTTTATTAATAAGCACGCCACCAGTACTCCTCAAAAGGTAAACACTTAGCAATATGTCATAATTTTCATCATATTCATAAAATCATAGCATATGAAATATTAGAAACACAAGCTAGTCACTGTAGTCTTGGCCTCTTCTTTATTAGCCCTACAGCCCCGCCCCACATCTTTGGAGTCCAGAGTAGCAAATAGAACAAAATGAGAAAGCCACAGGACGAGAGCTAGCCTGAGCCAATCTGGAGTGCTGTGAAAAACTAATGTTCTAAAGTCCTGGAGCACGTCCTTCTACCCCAGGATTGTTCTGGAGGAGGGAAGACTTTAGTTGCCACAGCCCAACTCAAATCTGATCCTGCTGGGGGGCCTCCAAGACCATGGGACACTGCTCAAGGTTTTTCCAGAGGCCCCAAGAAAAAGACATCACCAAGAAGGTAGGGAGGGTTTTTACCTCTGAGAAGAGGCCAAGGGGCTGAGCACGGTTGCAGCTGTCTCCTCTCCGCACTGTGCTGTGAAAAGGAGAGATCACAGTCTGCAGAGGAAGGCGGGGCAGGGACAGCCCCATCTCCATAGGGATGACAACACAGGCCGGCCACCAAACCCCACAGGACCCATGATGTCCCTGCTCAATGCCGCGCTCCAGTGGCCAACCTCGGACTTCGCTGCAGAAGGGCTCTTACAAGGTCTCCTTCCCTTGGTTTTCTGGACTCAAGTTCTAGGTGGCTTTCTTTTGTTGGCGGTGGGAGGCGGTTGCTTCTGGATGGATCTCTAGGGTCTCAAAAGTTGCTGGAAGGAGACACAAAGCTGCGGTCTGCCAAGAAAGGCTTAGATGCTGATGCGAAGTTTGCTTAGCTTTACATAAGCCAGTAATGTTGAAGTCCTGTGAAAAGTGGCCTTTCTTAGCCTTTCTCCTGATCATCTGTAGCAAATACTCAAGACATTTTAGAGTTCTCGTTTGTTTGTTTTACCAGTATTAGTTATGCAGGCGTTAGAAAGACACATGGACATCAACATGTTTCTAACTGCTTTGATCAAAATGCCTTTGTTTATTGTGACGTCTCACTCTCTACACCTCTCCTTTTGTATTTAACAAGGAAATATTTCACAGTACAATATAGGAAAGTTACCAACCCTAAGTATAGTAGGGTTAAACAAAAGCCAAGAATGAAGTCTGAAAGGAGGCACACAACTAAGTTAAAGGTTTGCTCTATACTAGGTTTTTGGTGGTGTCATCACTTTTAAAAAAAATGATTTTTGCACCAAGGAAATGTAAATTAAAATTGAAATTCCATCTTACCTTAATAGAATAGCCATCACTGGTGCTATAGATGCTGATAAGAATATGGGGAAGGGGAATGTTTTTCCACTGTTGGTGGGAGTGCAAACTGGTGCAGCCAATATGGAAATCTGTGTGGTCTCTCCAAAAGCTAAAATTCAGACCATCATATGACCTGACTATACCACTTCTGGTAATATACCAAAGGATTCTATAGCCTACCACAGGGTAACCTACTGCTCCATTGACAGAAGCTAGGAAATTAAATCAGCCTTGACATAACGGTGGTTTGTGTAGATGTTAGGAAGAAGGAATTCTGACATTTTCTGGAAAGTGGATGGAACCGAATTATATAATACAGAGGTAACCCAGGCCCAGAAAAATAAATGCCTCTCTCTTTCTCATTTGTGGATCCCATTTTCAAATTCTTAGATTTGTGTGGTTTGAGGTCAGGAAGCTGGAAATAGCATACAGGGAACAGGAGGCCTTAACGGGTTGAGTGCACAAACCAATGTGACAAGGGTGTGTGTGTGGGAACATTAGCCTGTTATAGCAGGAATAAGGATTGTGGTGGGCCTGAGTCAAACACAACTAAGGATTTATGAAAAGGCCTTATGCTTTGTAAAACAACTTTAAAATATTTTTAAAAGGAGTTTGAACAGAGGTATCTTTAATGAATGGACAATGTTCCCCCAGAAGACAGGGTTTTAAAATGAAAATCTCAGTGTTAGGTGTGAGATCCCTCCCTATGACTTACTGGTCAGAAAGTACCTAGGGGTACCCCAAATAACACAAGTTATTATCATTATTCTTGGTTGCCCAACATAGCTAAAAGGTAAGACCCTATTGAGGAGCACATAAAGAAATAAGATCGAAATTGATCTGGAAACTTCATTCCTGCCGGCTAGTTTTATAGTGATAGATGGATGGTATTATATAGTCTGCTGGGGGAGAAAAATTATCAGCAGACTACAGACGACATTACTACCTATTGGCACAATAATGGCATGGCTGTTGTGGGGTAAACAATGGCTTTGGGATTGGATTTGAGGCCTACTCTGCAGGAGGGAATTCATGTCTGATACTGTAAACCTGGTCAAAAGCTCATGGCTAGAGAGGTCCTTGATCTTAGGGGAGTACCTATTACTGTTGTCAAACTGCTAAGTATTTATAAATTTTTATATCCATAGACTAGTGCTGCTCTTAACCCTGGTCAGAGAAACTTTGTTCTACAGTGGGCAGCAATCTCATAACTGAATAAAGTGTTGAGAGTAAGTGCTCAGCCCCAAATAAGCCATTTATACAACTCCCCCAAGGCTCAGGGAACATCAAGGAAAATGAAGCAGAGTGGATGTAAGAGCCAGGGGATGGCAGGGATGCTGTGAAATGCTATCTTTCAGACATGACATAGTGGTTGAACCTAATGAGGTCACTGCCCTACGGTTGGTTACCTGGGTAGGATCAAGCCAGTCAATATTCCCCGTGGATGAGAACAGCCCATGGAGCATCACCCCAGGTAAGAGCTATTGACAACTGATGGCTGTTGGGAGAGTGGGAGTCACTTTTCTTTAGGGGCATGGCTGCTTTCAGGCTGCCCATGACTGGCCCCACACCAATGCACATACAGGCAGCACTAACTGGGCCCAGTGAGTTAGAGGACATAAATGTGGGAGGGAGAGGGAGGTACTGAGGGGTCCAGGAGGACTGGAAGGAGGGAGCTGGGGTGGCATAATCAAGACACAATGTGTATACATGAAATTGTCAGGAATTCAAAAAAATAATGTTTAAAAAGGGTGGCTGGTGTTGTTCAATGATACTGTTTGCCCAGCATTCACAAGTCCTGGGCATGATCCTCATCACTGAAACAAAGAAACAAGGGAAAGGTAGTGAGGCTGTATCTACTGAGCTTTCCTGGCTTCAGCCTCATGCTAGGCATCTTTCATGCACTTCTATTATCCTCGTGCAACCACTATCCCTGGCAATTCCTCACATGCTCCACTGAAAATGAAGGTTGAAGTCAACCTGAATAAATAGACATTACAAAGCTAAGCGGGAGAATGGGGAGCCAAATCAAGCTCTAGCTTTAAAGCCACATACCTCCATTAAACAGTATTTAAATATGCAAAAGGTGCATGATTTGCAGAGATGGCACAAAATCCTCACATTATACATGCAATTTACTTTGGAGGACTGAACTCTTGCTTCCAGATTGAAGACTACTGGGTCTTCCAAACAGACAACAGAAACAATCATTTAAAACAATCACTTTATTAAAAATAGCAAATCTCACAAATACTTATTAAACATTTGTCACTGGCCATTGGGGAACACACCTGCGTGTGTACTGATTGTCTGACGTAAACTGAAGCTGGGCTGCCACAGGAGGCCTGTGTGCCACCAAGCACGACCAGAACTGGGTCAGTGTGGTGACTGCAGGAAGGACAAATCCTTCAGCCCTACCGAATGTTTAGCACAATGCATTTCAAGTATAACCCTTAAGGCAACAGAAGAAAACACAGCAGCACAGCTCGACATCCCACTTCCCGATCCGGCCGGCGGCCAGGCCACAGCCTCCCCAGCGGTGAATTACAGCAAGCACGTTTACTAAAGCGCGTGGGAACACAATCACTGCACTGGCACTTTCATTATTTGAATTTTGTTGGGGAAGATGATTCTGCTACTGGGCTCAGCTGGAAAAGTAATGACTGCTGCTTCTCTGTAAACCCCCAGAGCAGGCTGCACACTGCTCTAGCTGGCGGACGTGTTGGGGACATCCTGTGCGTCTGCCAAATGCAGTTTCTGTCTGAATTCATCAGTTAAGAAGATTTTCATTTTAAAGTGAGTACTTCTTTTAAATTTCAGGAATTTATATTTGTAACAGGGAAACAGAAGAAATGGCATAAGGGAAGGAGGGAGAACAGGGAGGCTTAAACGGAAAGCTGTAGTGTTGCCAACAAGTTTGGACAGTAGCTCAGTGTAGAATAATGGATGGGTATAATTTGAAGCTTAAAAACATTTATTTAGGATCTAGTTATGCAGTCTCAAATTCCAGATCCTCCTGCCTCAACCTCCAGTGTTGGAGTTATAGGTGTGTAGCATCGTGTCTGTACAGGCTTATTTATCTTTAATACAGCATGAGTCATTTTCATGATAAGGAGCCAGTGAAAGTGAGACATTAAAAGACTAACTGGATTAAGACAACCTCTTGAAGATGCCATTTTACCATGTCTGGGGAAACAACTTCCTTAGAAAGCCAAACATAAAATAATTATCACAGCACTGTAATCTTTTACAATCTTACTCATCCTTCAAGAAATGACTATTCTTCATTTTCCTCTCAGTCCTAAACTGTTTAGCTGCTGGCCACCTTTCAATGTCCAATTCAAGCAGAGATCTGAATACACTGAGGACAGCTACAAGTCAGCAGTACACATATAGCAAAGGTCCGTTGCAAAAGCATTCAGACAAAGGCATGGGCATCCAAAGTTCTCTTGTCTAGTTGGGAGGTTTGAGAGTTAACACACACATACACAAAAACCATCAGACAGTAAAGTAAGGCAGAATGCTACAAACCAAATGTTTGATGGGAGTGGTCAGCATGAATGCCACCTGTCTGATGAAGAGGGGAAAGAAGGGAGTCTGCATCAGAGTGCAAGCTCAACAAAGGATATCATGGCAAGAATGAACAGGATGTGCTCCGAGACATCAAAGAACATAGCTTAGTGGGAACAATAACTGTCATGGGATCTATGTTGTGATCACCTGGTAAAAGCCTTTAAAAAGTTGACAATGGTAACAAATAAAATAAAAAAGGAATTGGCAAGAGACAATGCTTAAGCCAGGACTAGGGAGATTGAGGACTGCTCCAAGTTCAAGGCCAGACTAGACCACACAGAGAGTACTAGGCCAGCCTGGAGTGTAGAAGGTGATCCTGAGTGAGAAACAAAACAAGAAATGAAGAGAAACAATAGTGAAGAATCAGGTTCTAAGCACCTGCAGTACCATACAGAGAAGGAAGAGAGGATAAGAGCAGATGTGGTATGAGCTGACACCTAGTTAGCAATGGCAAGTGGAATCTATATTCATGTGCAAGCTTGAAGCAAAAGCACACGTTAACTGTTACTGCACAGCTGAGCAGTACAAAATGACACATCAGGATTCAGACTCGCTATTCTAACTTCTATATATTCTACGTAGTGTAGAGATTTCCCCATCCAGTGCCCTTAAAGATGTTAAAGAAGGTGTGAAATGTCACATTACTGAAGTGTGAACCACATTTCAAAAGTCCTATCTTATGCCATTATTGTGTTCAAAGAGTTTCTTTCTCATATGAAAGCAGGTTGTCTCATATTATTTTTATGTATTAGCAATCATGTTGACAAATACATTATAAAAAGTTTGAAAAGTTCCTTAGGTCATTGTTTCAGATTGAAATATCAAAATCACAATAACATACCTGTGACTTGGTGTTTTCCTCCAAGTCAAGTCTATACTGTACTAGCTTGGCATGGAGATGCCACTTCATAAGCTATGGAAGGACCCCTTGAAAGCTGTGTTTCACTAGTACTTGAATTTCTATTTTATACATCGTAAGTATATCTTTGGGTTATCTCCCAGGATCTAAGAGTCAAAATAATTCTTAGAGTCCAATACATAATTTTCATGACTTGAAAAATAATAATTAAATTTGCTTTGAAAAAATAAGAAAATGATATAAAACAAAGAATAAGCCAGACACAGATTTTCAGCATACAAACCATGAAACACTTTGATTTGGAAACTAAAAAGGAAGAGACACAGCCCTAGTAAATAAAATAAAAAAGACAGTAGGAAATATTTACCCAGAACTATAGATTAGGAACTTTACACTGTTGATAGTAGGCAAAGGATACATAGAAGAATTCAATTCTTCTAACTGCAACACAAAGAAACAAATTGAATATTAATTTTTACAAGATAAATATTAGTCGGTCACTGTAAACCATGTTTTAAAATAGCTTCATCTAGGTTTTCTTTAACTGAAACAACAAACTATTAAAAAAAAAAAAAAAAAAAAAAAACAACTCTCAAAAAGTTTTCTAGGCCAGGGAATGGGGAATCCCTTTTTACAAAATAACTATAAAATGGCTACAGCTTGAATGAAAGACTCGGAAGAGAGAACAGAAACAAATGCTAAAGACTAGAGCTTTGGAAGAATTCTTAGAATCACCATATATTGTGTTTGCTCTTTCTTTTTGAAAGGGAGTCTTTCTGGGTGGTGGTGGTGCACACCTTTAATCTCAGCAGAGACTGTGGATCTCTGAGTTCAAGGACAGCCAGGGCTACACAGAGAAACCCTGTTTTGAAAAAAACAAAGACAAACCGAAAAGAGAGTCTCCAGGCTGGCTTGCCTTGAACGCTATGTAGCCCGGGATAGTCCTAACTCCTGATTCTCTAGGTTCAGTCTCCAGAGTGCTAGGATCACAGATACATGCCACCTGTTCTTTCAACAGGAATGTTATCATTATTGTGTGTGAAGGCAGCACACACGTGAGTGGAGTTGGTTCTCACTCTGCTTGTACACGAGTTCTAGGAAGTGAACTCAGGTCCAAATTTTACCAGGCTTGCCAAAGCATCTTTACCTCCTGAGCCAGAGCCATCTTACTGGCCCCATGCCTAGCTTTTAAAGTGTTTTTTTTTTTTTTTTTTTTTTTTAAATTGCCATCGCTGTGATCATAATCTTTAAAACTTTTATTATTTACAAAAACGCTTCATAAATCATTGAATTCTTACCATAAAGTAGAATTTATCACTCTTGTCTTAGTGTGTTTGGGGCTCCTCTAACAAAATATCATTAAATTTGTGGTTTGTAGAGAAAAGAAAACCATTTCTAATGGCTGTAGAGACCAAGAAGCCAACAGACCCCAAGTCTGGCTAACAGGACAGCACCTTGTCCTATGTCTTATGTCTCAAAATGGGAGCAGTGGGGAGTCTCTCTTCAGCCTCTTTTCCTAGGATACCAATCTCCTCAGTCTTGACCTAATTCCCTTCCTTCCAAAGACCTGTCTCTTGACACACCACTTCTGGGTAAAGACTTGAAACTGCAAGTTCTAGAAGGATACAGACATTCAGACTACACCCTCTTTAATTTCAGAAGAAGAAATATAAGGTATAGAGATGTCGTCTGAGGCTGTAGTGGTAGTGATGGAGTGCTTGTCTTGCATCCCTGAGGCCGTGGGCTTAATCTCCGGTATCTCCAAACAGTGTAAAAAGGGAGGTTAACCAGACTGCTCACTGTTACCAAGAACATAGGTGCAAGCACTGCATATTTCAAATTTGGTGTTCTTTTGCCAAAATGCAGTATTTTCCTTAATGTACTAAAAGTACACAAATTAAGCTTATATTTAATAGATATAAAGCATAAGACATGAACTAGAATACTTGTGACACTGAATATGATATGTCAGATATGACATTTAGAAGTACAGGCTTGAAGGGATTGTTTCTGAGAGAGGTCTCATGTAGGTGAGGCTAACTTTGAACTCCTGTTCCTCCTGTATCCACTTCCCAAGAGCTGGGATTACAAGCATGCACTGCTAATCTTCTGGGCTTAAAGCTTTAGACACCAGGAGGTAAAGGCCTTTAACCCCAGCACTCAGGAGGCAGAGGAGGTGGCTCTCTGAGTTTGAGGCCAGCCTGGTTTACAGAATGAGTTCCAAGACAGCCTTGACAGTTGCCTCATATTTACTCATTAAAAAAAAAAAAAAAAAAAAAAAAAAAAAGTGAAAGAAAAGCAGCGAAGCAAACTCTTTTGTTACTGGGGAACATGAAGCTAAAATACTACGTTGAAGTCTGTTTTTATTTATTTTCCCTTGTTCTAAAAAGGTTTTGTGTATTCTAAGTTCCCTGTGTGTACACACACACATGTGCTTGCACACATGGAAGGCAGAGGCCAATGTTTTGTGTCTTCCTCAATTATTCTCTACCTTACTTTTTTTGAGACAGGCTCTCTCACCAAACCTGGGGCTCTCACATTCAGCAAGAATGGGTAGCCAGCGAGCCCCGGCTCTTCTCTTCTCCACCTCGCCAGCACTCTGCACATGGGTACTGGGGATCTCAACTCAGGCCCTCGTGTTGGTGTAGCAAGAACTTTCCTGACTAGCCATCTCCCTAGCTCGCTAAAGATGGTTTTAAAGATTTGTTTATTTTTATTTTATGCGTATGGTATGACCGCTTTGCCCAAATGCAAACATGTGCACCACGTATGTGCCTGGTGCCCTCAAAGGCCAGAAGAGGGCTTCAGATCCCCGGAACTGGAGCTACAGACGGTCGAGGGCCGCCATATGGGTGCTGGGAACAGAATCTGGGTCCTCTGCAAGAGCAGCAAGTACTTTTAGTCGCTGAGTCAGCTTTTCAGCCCCCTAAAAAAGGTTTTAAAGAGGCAAATTTACAAGATGTTATGGGCTGAGCTGTGCCCCACTCCATCCCCAACTCATACATTCTAACTGTCAGTCATAAGACGTCAGAGTATGTGGGTATTGGGAGACAGGCCTTTAAAGAGGTGATACAGTCAAAATGAGGCCACCAGAGGGGACCCTGATCCAGTATGACTGTACAAGGAAGGAAATCTGGACCAATGTGCATAGGAGACTTACATGAGCCTTGAGATGGCCACCACAATGGGGAACTAAGCCTCAGGAAGCACTTTGATCTCCAACTTCCAGTGTCCAGAATGTGAGGGGAAAAAAAAAATCCAAAAAACAAAACTCCCAGTGTTTAAACCCAGTCTGGACTGAGAGATGTAGTAATGTTCTAAATGCCTGTAAAGACCAACTTTGGCCTGGAGCCATCCAGGCAGGCAAAGGGCTTTTGACTGGTGTCTTCTATGAACTTAAGATACAATTATGGATAAGGCCTCTGTATAATACAGGCACATATGTAAAAATGTACAGAAGCAAGTATTTCCTTTACAAGTTTGCTTCCATAAATCTAAGTTTCAGCATTTTTTAAACTATTTCTTTATTGAGAGTCAAGTGTAACAGAGATGAAATTTGAGGACCCCCCCACAAGGGCACATACTGCATGCGTAATGCACAAAGTGCCACAGAGGCCAGTTCATCAAGATAGAAAGTGCATGTTGCTAGGGTGTGGGGAGGAAAACTAAAGGACAGACTTCTTTAGCAGGTAAAGAAAATGTTCTAGAATTAGATGGTGGTGATGACTTCAAAACACTATGAATACATATATATGTATATATATATGTATATATCTCACATATATACAATATATGAATATGTGTGTGTATATATACATACATATATATATATATATATATATATATATATAAAATCATTGATAGTTAAAATTCAAATTGTGTTATGTGTGTGTGTTGTTGCAAGATGTTTTTAAAAGCAAGCACTCTACTCACATCAGACAGAAGCCTGTCCAGGTTGGCATCACTGGCTGCTTTCCGCTTATCCTCAGGAAGTTCCTCTAACTCCCCGTAGAGCTCCAAATTTAAGCGAGCTAATTTCTCCTGCATTCCCCGGACATGTTCCATCTGTTCTATGGAACATTCATTTCCTGGAGAACATTCCAGAACATTACCAAGATTAGTGTTAAAGCTTATAACCCTCAAGGAACAGCTTTTAAACTGCAGGTGCACAAAAGAAATCCATTTGCTTTGTTTGTAAATTGCCTCGCTAAACTGTTTTCTGTGTATAATCACAAATCCTTTATTTTATTTTTTTGAGACAGGGTAGCCAAGCTGGTTCAAACTCACAATCTTTCTATCTTGTCTCTTGACTGTTGGGAGCAAATACAACTATTGGCCAGGAAAACAATGACCAACCTAAGAAATGATCCTGGGCCCTAAAATCTATTTTGACAACTGCCAGTTGAACTGAAAAGCCAACATTTTGTAGTACAATGAATAAAATGAGGGATTCTCCAAGAATTTCAACCACAAATTGTTTTGCCAGTCAATTATATATTCTTCCTTAAGGAAGTATAAATGCAAATCTTCAAGGTAATAATATTTTCAATCTTATGCATGGTAATACAAGACAACTTTACTAAGACATCGGTCTCATTATTTCTTAAGACCAGCATGGTTATTTTACCTGCCCAGAACAACTAACGTACATACACGTGTCATAGTCTACATGTTCATCTGGTTTAAGTACAGCCTTTGCAACCTCTTGGTACTCCAATTTAAAAAAAAAAAAAAAACCCACACTTTTTTCTAAATACATTGCAAAAGTATACTATAATTCAACTAAAGCTGAAATAATGCCTGATGTGGTATCATAAGTGTACATATCAGCACTTGGGTTTCCTTAAGAGGTGTGTCCTTGTGGCAAGAGGAAGAGGGGGAGGGGAAGAGAAGGAGAGAGGGAGAAGGAATGAATGAGACTATGGATGGACGCATACAGAGATGCAGACCTGACAAAGGAAAACGGAGAGGTGGGCAGACCTAGACTGCCTGCCATGAGATGACAGAAGCTTCATATGAAAAAAAGACATGTCTTTGAAGGATGAAGCAGCTAAGAAAGGCTGAGCAATTCCCCGGTGGGATCCATGAGAAAAGACCCAGATCTGCATATCCAGATAAATGTCTACAGTTTACAGAGAAGGTGGTGGTGGTGGTGGGCTCTTAGGCATTAAGCTGAGAAAAAAAAAAGTTAATGACCTAGTAAGAAAGAAACTGACCAGCAATACAATTTTCATTGCAACACTTACAGCCACAGGGAAGCTTCCTTCAATCAAACACCAAGTCACCTGACCCTAAGGGCAGAAGCAAAGTAAAAAAAAGGTGCAGAAAAGAGAGGAAGACATGAAAGCATTCTGGGACACCATGCTGTTGGGATGCAGTGCACCATGAGATGGGAGAACATGCTGTAAGTAAATAATGCTCCTTCTTTTGGAGTGAGGGCACCTATGTAATCCAGCCTGGCCTTGAATTCATAATTCACCTGCCTCAGCCTCCCAGTACTTGGATTACAGGCCTGAGTCTGGCTTCTTTGTCAAACATAAGTATTACCAAAGACCAAAGACCCAGAAACCACAAAAGAAAAGAGATGTAAGTACACAAAAAATCAAGAACTTTACAGGACTAAATAAACTATCACAACATCTAAAGACATAAACATATATGGAAAAATAGATAAAGAAAAATGTATTGTTTACATGTAAAACATACAAAAGGTTCTTGACAATGACAAAGTAAGAAATTATCAAACTAAAAACTATGTAAAGGCCCTGGGGGTTGGGGATTTAGCTCAGTGGTAGAGCGCTAGCAAGCGCAAGGCCCTGGGTTCAGTCCTCCTCTTGGGGAGGGGGCGAATGGGGGAGGGAAAAACCCTGAAAAGAGCAATACAACTACTTAATAAGTAGACATGGAAATTCAAATTTGATGGCCACCTAAAAAAAATTCACACTGGGTATTGCCAGCACATGCCTTTAATACCAGCCCTGGGGAGGCAGAGGCAAGAGGATCTCTGTGAGTTCCAGGCCAGCCTGGTCTACAGAGTGAGTTCCAGGACAGCCAGGGCTGTTACACAGAGAAAGCCTGCCTCAAAAAGCCAAAACAAACAAACAAGCAAAAAATAAATAAATATTCACTTGACTGGCAAAAATGGAAAGTTAAATGTCCCCTGCTGGTGGGAACCCAAAGAACAGGGTTCTTTCACAAACTGTAAACACAACAAGAAAATGTAGGGTTGGGGGGTGTTATTCAGGTTACTTCTATTACAAGTAGAATTAGAGCTGGGTGTGGTTATCTATTTCTCTATCTTAGCACTTGGAATGTGGAGACAAGAGGACCCAGAATGAAAGAGCACCCTCTGCTGCATAACGAATGGAACGCCAGCCTACAATCCATGAGAGCCTGCCTCAAAAAACAAACAGGTAAAGAATTTTTACTTGGTTGCCAGAATGCTTGTCTAGCCACCACAAAACCAGAGTCCAAATCTCTGCCTTTATAAGCAGGGTGTTACAGTAGGTGCCTATAATCCTAGCAGTTGGAGACAGATGACAACAGGAAAATCAGAAGCTCAAGGTCATCCTGGGCTGTGATGAGTGTAAAGCCAGCCTGAGCTATATACACAAGGCCCTGCGTGGAAAGGGGAAACCCCAGCGCATGGAAAACTGAGGCAGAAGGTCATGAACTCCAGGGTAGCTAGGCTATACACGAAGCAAGACACTTTTGAAAAACAAAAGAAGATTGAACACACCAAGTCTAAATTGGTTTAACTGGTAAAGACTTCCCCTATTATTTAAATGGATAAATTATATGACATGGTTTTGTTTTTCAGAAATGGATCAGGTTGCCTTCTAAAGAAGGAAGGGCCATACAAGACCATACATAGGGACAGAGAACCTAATTTAAACAAGCACTGGTTATTCCATAATAGCAACCCTACTTTAACATTTCAGCTAATCTTCCCTTGTGTGTGCACATGAGTGTGCTGATATATAAAATGCAGGAATGAACATGTGCATGCTGGCATGTAGAGACCAGAGGGGGATGTCAGGTGTCCTGTCCCATCACTCTGCCTTGTTCCTTAAGATAGGGTCTGTCTGTCAGTGAACCTGGACCAAGGCTGACAGCCAGCGAGCCCCAGAAATCTGCTTCCCATATCTCTGGGATTCCAGGCCTCCCTTTGGCCATACCCAGCTTTTTACACAGGTATTGGAGTACAAACTCAGGTCCTCATGGTTGAGCAGCAAACTGTCTCGCCCACTAAGCCATCTCTCTGGCCCCAAAAACTCTTTCTAAAAATCCCAATAATTTTAGGAAACAAATTATAACCCATGACAATAAATCTAAAATTAAAAATCTTAAATTTTATATATCTAAATATTTTGTGGCCCCTTCTCTCTCTTTATCCCAATACTAAGCATGTGCTTTTGTTTGTCTGGTTCTCATGTCTCTATTTCCCGATAGGCAGGATTAGAGGTGTTCACTACCATGCTGAAGTGCTAGGTGTCAAACTAAGGACTTAGTAAGCACTAGGCAATCTACCAACTACCAACAAAGCTACATATCCAGCCCCCTCTGTGTATGCTTGTCCTGAGACACAGCTTTAGGTAGCCCAGAATGGCCTCAAACTCCACATATCCTTGAGGACGACACTGGACCTCTCATTCCCCTGCCTCTGCCATCTAGATACTGGGATTACAGGCAGGAGTCACCACATCTGGTGTATCTTTGCTTTTTCATAAAAGAAAATGATTCTTTGGGAGACCCTTAAGCAATAAGGTGGGTGGTAGGTGGGCGGTACTGAGGAATGAAACCCATGGCTGTCCTCTGGCTTTCACACATACACACAAACGAACGAATGCACACCAAACAAAAGAAGAATGAGACATTGCAGAACACAGGATGGAGGCATCCTAAAGACACAGCAGGAAGAGCACACTGCCATCTTACCAAATGCCTGCAGCTTTCCAGAGTGGAAGTCATTGAGCAGACTGAGGAGCCCACGCTCCATCTCCTGGACATCGGAGACATCTGTGAGGAAGGAGTGTTGAATGGGGGTGGCCTGAGCACCCTTTCCTTCTCCTCCTGGAGGTTTGTTCTTTTCCTTCATCACTCTGTGGAGAAGATGCAATTGACCTCGGTTGTTCTACATTAAACTCCCATTCAACTTTATAGTTAAATAAATGAACATTTTTTTAAAGAAACTAGAAATCAGAAGAAAGTCAATACTAGATAAAACCTGAAACTTCAACCCAACAACAAACAAAAGCAGGTGGTGAAAAATCCCAAATATATAAAGTATAACCACTGAGAAATGTAAAAAGTTTAGTTAGTATGTTTGTACAATATGATAATTTGTTAGATTGAAAAGAAAACTGAAAAATCTTTTCAGTAAGTAATCTGTGTATTTTATTTCTCAGTAAAATGCACCACACATTCTTCTTTCTAAATGTTATCCTTGAGCTGTTTTAGCTGGGTGATTCTTTTGGGGGTTCCTGCTCTGGAGACAGCATGTCAGGAGTGCTTGGGCTTAGGAGAAAGACATTTAAAATCCAGACTCAAGTACCTGGTAGCATCCTGAATTCTGCCACCATCCTCAGACCCCTCATGCATTTCAAGGTCCAACTGAGTAATGTAATCTAACTTCTTTATGCTCTCCTTAGCTGCTGCCGCCATCCTATGTCTTAACGTAACATCTCCTCACACCTTCCCAGGTGGCCCACCTGATCCTGTGAATTGTCCCTGGTCCCCTTTTCCTTCCCACGAGGCAGAAAAGTCCATTTCTAAATGCCAGGTGGCATAATTCAAGCTTTCAAGAGCCTGTTTTAATCCAATACCCTTAAAAAACCTACTTTCCTTGGCTGTGCTTGTTCAAACCTTTAATCCTGATACAGAGGAACAAGGCAGAGGCAGGGGGATGACCAGTTTGATTTACATAAAGAGTCCAAGGACAGTGAGGGCCACTTAGTGAGACCCTGTGTCAAATAAAACAAAACAAAACAACCAACCCTAATTGTATTAGCTCCTAGAAGCACATTTGCCATCTTCTTATCTGACCTACATTCAGATGCTTCACTTCACAAACCCTGCAAGCCTCAGTCTAGCTGCTATTTCCCAAGAAAGACATTTGGGAGCCCTCTGATTAATTATTATCACATACATCTGCATATGTGATACCAAAGGTCCTCAGACACTAAGGAGATGGCACCATGCACACTACTATATAGAAGCAGAGAATCAGGCGTTTACTAGGCACAGAGGCAGCCAGGCTTCAAAGGAGCTATCCAGGTAAGGTGTAGGAGAAACTGCTGCCAGCCTACCCAAGCTTCAGGAGCTCAGACCAGCCTGCATGAGCATTCCCAGCAGGCACTTCCTCCCTGAGCCCAGCCTGCCTCTAAGCCCAGGGGCAGCTGTCAGTGAGACACCAATGGGTAAAGGACAAGGCAGCAGAGTCAGCCACCTGAGCCAATAGGACCATGGGAGGGGGGTAGAAAGGCGGCTAAGACTCCTGGGGCCTGAGTGGTTGGTGCTGTGTCTTCTCTCCCCTACCCCTAAGAGTTATCCAAGCAGGCTCACCCACAACACTAAGGGCTAAAAAGCCAAAGGGGTTGTGTTATCTTTAACTAGTACAGTAGGCTCTGGATTCAGTACTGTATACACAGACTACTTGATTTTTACACAATAATGAAGACCTGGTCCCTGCTATACTCACAAGGGTAACATAAATAGGACATGTGTATGTGTGCACACATACTGTGCGAGGGTCTGGGAGTGTAAGCCCATGGATGAGGTGGGGTAAAGAAGAAACTAAGAACTCTTAAATTTAGAATTCAGGCTGAAGCACGGATTAGCTGTTAAGAGTACTAGCTGCTCTTCAATCTTACAACTGTCTAATCCAGTTCCAGGGATCCCAATACCCTCCCATCTGCTCTCCACAGGCACCAGGCCTGCACAAACACACATGAAGACAAAACACCCATACAAATAAAATTTAAAAACACATGTGGCACATTTTTAATCTGAGCACTCTGGAGGAAGGGAAGAAGAGAGAGCCCTATGTGTTCAAGGCCAGCCTTGAAGTTCCAGGCCAGCCAAGGCAACATAGTGAGATACTGTCTCAAAAACACTACACAAAACAAAACAAAAACAAAAAAATAAATAGGAGAAAGTAAATTTAGAACTCATAGTCTGTCAGTAACAGTTCTTTACAAGGAAAGGCTTGCATTGTGTGTGTGTGTGTGTGTGTGTGTGTGTGATGCATACATGCAGATGGTTGTATGTACATGTGTGTGCAAGCGTGTGTGAAGGCTGGAGTTTGACGTCAGGTATCTTTCTTTGTTGCTTTCTACATTATTTTATTTTATTTATTTATTTATTTATTTATTTATTTTTATTTATTTATTTTTTTTGGTGCTCTCTCTTCAAACCTAGAGCTTGTTGCATTGGCTAGACTGCCTCAGCAACAAGCTCCTATCTCTATATCATTGGTGCTGGAGTTCCAGATGTACACTGCCACACTTTGATTTTTCCAAGGATGCTGGAAATCCCCATGATGTGTAGCAAGCTCTTTATTCACTGAGCCATCACCCCAGCACCAAGGCCCGTGTTTTTCATATAGGTATTTTAAATGGTATTGAATCATGTAATTCAGTATCTTAGTTTGCTTCCTCTTACTGTCACAAAGACCATGACAAAAGCAATCCGGGAAGGAAAGGGTTTATGTGGCTTACAGTTTATATAGTCCACTATGAGGGAAGTCAGGGCAGGAACTCAAGGTAGGAACCTGGAGGAAGAAACTGAAGTAGAGTTCATGGAGGGACTGTTTACTGGCTTGCTTAGCCTGCTTTCTTATACAAACCAGAACCTCCTCAAGGTTAGTACTGCCCATAATGGGCTCCCACATCAATAACCAATCAAGAAAGCATTCCACAGAATTGCCAGTGTGATGGAGGCATTTTTTTTTTTTTTTTCCAGTTGAAGTCCATCTTCCTAGATGACTCTGGCCTGGGTCAAGTTGATAAGAAATACTGCAAGTGCTGTCCATTACCTCACCTATGAGCTTATAACAAATAGTCATGTAAAGACCCACTCCCTAATACCCATACTCTTTAAAAAAAAAATAAAAAAGTGAAGAGAATCCACTATGGATTTTAAGGTTTCTGTGTAGCAAATGTATTTTTCTTTTTTCATATTTACAAGTTTTTATCTACTAGATAACTTCATCAATTAATACTTCCCAGAGCAGAAAATAGACATACACTATAAAAGTCTATTTATTAAAATTTGTTTCCTTTGTGCATATGTCCACCTGTGTATGAGGGTGAGCATTTCTATGTGACTGTACCTATTGGTGTGCAGACATGTGGAGCATTTTCTTTGAGCTCATCAAGTAGACTACACTATCTGGCCAGCAGGCCCCAGGAATCCTCCTGTCTTCCCAGGGCTGGGATGACAGGAATGAGTTACCATCCCAGGAGTTTTTATATGGGTTCTAAGGATGAAACTCAAGCCTTCAGGTTTGTAGGACCAGAGTTTTACCAATTGATTGAGGTCTTCAGGGATAAAAACCCCTTTCTGAATATTTATTCAAATGGAACTCTCACAGTTGTTGCTTTAAGAGTCAAAGCCTGGGCTGAGACTGTAGCTCAGAGTAGAGCATAGCACATTTGCAGCACTGGGAAAAGTCAAAGCATGAGAGGAAAAGAGGCTAGACAGAGACGATAACTACTTAGTAGCATTCCACTGGGAAATGTCAAAGAAAGGAACTCACCTCTTTAACTTTGGCCGCTGGGAAGTTGACTGTGCTGTGGGATTTGAAAAGCCGGTGCTTTTGCTAGTTGGGATGGCATTTTTTTTGGCATTAGCAACCTGAGTAGAATGGGCACTGAAAGACTTGGGACTCTTCCTCTTCGCTTTCCGCTCTTCCATTGTTTTAAGTTCTTCGTTGCATTGACACTAGCTTCGTAAGACCTACATAGGGAAATAATAGTGATTACAGCTATATGCTACAGTATGCAAAGAAGCACCTAACACACATTCCACAGACCAAAGGAGTAAGAATTTCAAGTCATTCAAATTAGAACAAGGAATCCCTTAGGTCTAATTTACTCTGCTAAGGCACATGAAGGTCTTTATCAAGATTGTCTAATAATTTTTTTTTTAACCACTTTCTCTATTCACACATCTTCTAAGTATCTACTGAGTCTCCTCCATAAACCGGGCACCGTCATCAGTCCAGGGTAAGCAATAATGAATAAGACAAAGTCCTTAACCTTAAGGAACTACCATTATATAAGGCGGCCAAATATAAACAAACCACCCATGCAAAACCCTAGTGAGGCTGGGTGGTTTGTTTATCCCATGCAAAACCCCAGCCTCACTAGAGCTTTACCTGGCCTTTCAATTTCCCTTCTAAACCCACTCAAACAGATGTATTTCAGGGCATCAATTCTAAACTGCAACTTGAAGGCTTATGTAATGTACATTATATTGGTATGCTATGCACCACCACACCCAAATCTGGGCATCAGTCTAAACTGCAACTTGAAGGCTTATGTAATATACATTATATTGGTATGCTATGCACCATCACATCCAACATATTAAAGAAGGTGTTACTATGTAGCTCTGGCTGGCCTGGAACTTGTTCTAGGGACCACCTGCTTGTTGCCTATGTGCCTGGATTAAAGGCATCAAAAGTGTGCATCACCTCACCTTTCCTTTTGGAGAAAAAAGGGTTCCTCTCTGTCCCTGGCTGGCTGAGAAATTACTGTGTAAGCCATGCTGGCCCTCAGCTTGTGGTGATCCTATTCCCTCTGCTCGTGAGTACTGAGATGATAGGCATATGTCACAAGACTGGCTGTTTGTTTAGCTTTGAATTTTTCTGAATTCTATTATTAATGGATCACAAAGTCATCAGAAATATGTGCATTTACTAATTCCTTCAATTTGTTAATTGCATTATGAATGTCAGGTCTTAAAAAAAATACTGTGTGGAGCTTGAGAGAGGACTCAGTAGTTAGGAGCCACAGGCTGCTCTTCCAGAGGACTCATTCAATATCCAGGACAAACAAGGTGGCTTGCAACAGTCTCTCCAGAACCAAGGTATCCAATGTTCTCTTCTGGCCTCCAGGGGCACTGTATGGCCCCAGTGCACAGACATGCATGCAGACAGAACACTCATACACAGCCAATACAATTTAAAAATTAGAAGTGTTGGGTTTAATCCTGCCACAACTATTTTAAAAGACTGAAACTGTCATTCCTGGAAGATTCATTTAGGAATTATAAAGGCAACATCAGGGGTTTGTCTGGTTGGTTGGTTCTGGTTTTTCGAGACAGGGTTTCTTCGTGTTGGCTTTGGAGTCTGTTCTGAAACTAGCTCTGTAGATCAGGCTGGACTCGAACTCACAGAGATCTGTTTACTTCTGCCTCCTGAGTGCTGGGATTAAAGGCAAACGCTACCAAGGCCCGGCTTGGGGGGGGGTGGGGTGTTTTTTGTTTATGCTTTTCTATCTAATAGAAGGCTTTCTTGAGGGAGGATCCAGCGTCCAATGTCTAATCAGATAGCAATCGAGAATTCACTTGAGTCATTTGGTAATTGTTTAACATGTAATAATGATGAAATAGAAATTTAAAGACGATGACAATGCAGGTCTCCAAGAGGCGAGGATCTGTATAATTCATGATACACATAAGCACATAAACCTTCGAATCTAAGAGTGCTAACACATATTGGGTGACAAAAGAAAAAATAAAATTAACAGTTAACACACAACGCATCGGAAATAAACCAATGGTCTCCGAGGAAACAAGCTTGCGATTTACTCATTTCTGGAGAAAAACAATCTGTCACAAGACCGCTGAAGTCCTTTTGGTACGGCAAGCACCAGGGACCGTTCCAGAGAGGGCGGACTGCTCACAGTTGAATGTTAGGCCTTGCTTCTAACCAGGACCACCGGAGGGGCCTCTGGACTGCGCTTCATTTCCCTTCCGCAACCCACCTCAGCGACGACCCATCAATACTCAGCAGTGACCAGAGCGGGTGCCGAGGGGCCTGAAGGAGCAGGCTGCGGGGCCCTTCATCCCACTACATACCGGAGAAAGAAGCGGCTGCGATCCCCTTCCTTAACTGGAAAAGCTCGGAGAAGAGTCCAAAGCCTCTGTTACAGCTGCAGCAATAGTCCGGGGCACCAGCACTGACCACCAGCCTGGGACCCGCGCCTCCACAGAGCCTTTGTTTACGGAAGTGATGCAACAGGGCGGAGCCCTCTATGAGGCGGGAGCCACGCCTTTTCCGGGTCCCTTAGCGGGGCTCGCATCTCTTCCTTGGGCTCTGTGCTCCCATAGCCCTCTTCAGATATGGCTCCGGAGGCTCTGGGAAAGAAAAGAAGCTTCTGGCCACTCCAATTCTGCCTCTGCGATGGCCTCTTTGGAATTGGCAGTATAGTGTTCTCACCGGAAGTGGCTAGCCACCACGGTGAATGACCGCCCCTATACACTGCAATTCCCAGCATGCCGCTCGGGCACACCTGAAGGCGGAGCCTATTGTCACCCTACCAGCGCATCCTTGTCTCGGATTGGCTACATTGAATGTGGCTTGAAAAACTGTAGACAGTTAGCCACCCTGATGCTGAGCCTCCAAGTGGAGTTCTGTAAATAGCTAGAGCACAAGCATTGAGGTTCTTTGGGGGAGTTGGGTTTGTTTATGTCGTCTGTGTGTCTGTCTGTCTTAGTTTTCTCTCCTTTTTGGCAGGGTCTGTATGGCCGAGACTGCTCTAAAACTGGTTATGTTGCTGGATTGGCCTTGAACTCCTGATCCGCCTGCCAGCACTTCTTAAAAGTTGGGGTTAGAGGTATGTGCCATCCGACTGGGTTTACCTCACTACAATCCTTTGAGATAGGTGTCATAATCCTCGTTTTAGAAGTGAACCTGAGATTCAGAAAAGCTAATCAATCTTGTTGTCTGACTCCACTTCATCCCTGGGAGAAAGAATTGACGTTTGAGACAGAAGGCTCATGAAAGTGCTCTAGCCAGCCAGAGCATGGCAAAGATGACTCTTTCAGGCCTTGACCTTCTCACCCATTCTCTCTGCTTTGCTAAAAAAAAAAAAAAAAAAAAAAAAAAAAAAACAAAACAAAAAAAAAAAACCTATTAGGTTGCATTCCTAAAGCTAGCCACCGAGGATTTGGCAACTTCCTCCTTCTATGGCTGACTACCAAGGTCTATGTATCAAAGTTCAGCAATCAAAAGACCTCTTTTGGCTCACCTAATTAATATACCCAATCAAAATTAAATGCCTTATCATAACATGGGGTTTCCCTTTTAGGTTTATAAACTACCATTTGCTTAGGGGCCTCTCTATCCAGATCAGTCCTTTATCCCTCCCTAACAAATGTGCCTTCCTCCTCTCCCTTGTTCCTTTCCCTTTTTCCCTCATCCTCTGTCTCCCATCTTTGTCTCTTGTCCTTTTGTCCCTCTCAGGCAAATAAATCTTTGTGCTGAGAACTTGGTCTTTGGGTGTCTTGTGCTGAATACTAATCCCTTCAGCTCAGTCCTCAATTAGAGAAGAAAAGGGATCTTTCTTTGGTGTGGGTTGCCTTCTTGAAGTGGGATTTGGGGATGGAAATTTTAGATTCCTAGCCGCATAGATTGAAGCAGCTGTGCCCTAATTACCTAAGGAGGAACTTGTGTCTAGAGATAGTCAGTACTAGAGAGGCAAAACAAAAATGGAGTCACTCAGTCCCTAGACTCCTACTATGAGATATTCTTCCATTAGAAAGCAAACAAAACTGGAATTCTTTTTTTTTTTTAAACACAGCAAAACATTCATGATCCCACTTTCCACAGAGAACATGTGATATTTTTTATTTGGTATTTTAGGTTAAAGAATTAGCACATTCAGAAACAGTAGATTCCTCTTGTTCTCATCCCCCTTGGCTATCTCCCTTCCTGTAGACCACCAGGGTTACTAGGAAATGGATCTTGCTAACTGATGTTTCATGTGCTATTCTAACTTTTTTTTTTTTCAAAATATTTGCTAACAATTAGGGTCAAAAGAAGAAAGAAATAAGTCATTGACAGTCTGAATAAATGAGAAGATCAGCTCTTCACTGTTGCCTGGCAGTAGTGGTTCAAGATAATATAAAGAATATCTACTTTAGATCAGAAGTTAGAGCCAACCACTAGCAGTATTTAGTTTTTCTTTGCTTTTACTACTCACCTGAGGCCTGTGGCATTTGAGTTTTACAGCCTATGATAAAATTAGGGACACTGAAAGATGCCCTTCTGAATGTATGAAAACAAACAAACAAAAAAAACCACCATGAGGGCTCAGGCTTGTCATTCTACCACTAGGAAGGTAGAGGCAGGAGCCTGAGCTACATGAAACTTTCTCCACATAAGTAAATGCATGCCTTGCATTGGAAGTATTCATGTTTTGAATGTCTGTCCTGAGTCCCTCCAATGACTTAAAGGCTTTATCACAAGATCCCCAGTCTCGGATGTTCTATTATTTACCAATACATCCCCAAATGGGGGACCAAGTCTTTACAAAAGGATGGGGACATTAAAATTCCAACCTTACATTTTTTCCTTCTCCGCTATTTTATTAAAATATTCCACATATAACTTAATCCTGAGTGCAAACATATCCAACCAGAATTCATGTCATGACTTTCCTTCATTTTTATGTCCTTGCTTTTTGAGATGAGGCCTCACTATGTACACTTACCTGGGGACCTTGCTAGGTAGACCAGTCTGGTCCTTAACTTGTAGTAATCCTCCTGCCTCTGCCTCTCACAGTTCTGAGATTACAGGCATAGACAATCATGCCAGGCTTTTTTTTTTTTTAATCAAGGATTTGCTGTGTGTGAAATGTTGATGTGATAACTGCATCTGGAAGCCACTCTTATGTTCAGTGTTCTTCCACTTGGGAAGTTTATGCTCTAAGGCCACCAGTGTGGTGACCACTCTTCATTGTT